GACTCCCTGCCTGTTCCTCGGGTGCAGAGCAGGCATTTTCTATCAAGGACCTTTGTGCAGGTAGCTCCCTGTCATCCTGACACCTGCGGGGCTCACTCCCCATTTCGTATCTCTGCTCTAATGTTTTGTTCTAAGGAGGGCTCACCCTGACCAACTTGAAATTGCAATCTGCTAACTGCCTGGGGCCTTTTATCCCTTTTACACTTGTCTGTCCTCTGTATATCATTTATCACCTCACAGCACCCTGTGAACTGCACTTCCTTACCTTGTGTGGATCCCGATTTCCCACACTAGGTTGTAAACTCTGTGAGGGCAAAGACCATGGTGCTCTGTGCTCTGTGACATTCCCAGCACTGTGTGTGTAGGGCTGTGTGAGGTGATCACGCCTGGTCTCTGCTCTGTGACATGCCCAGCAGTGTGCGTGGTTGCCTGTGTGAGGCGCCACTTGCACCCATCTGCTCAGTAGGAGCGGGGAGCTTCCTCAGTCTGGCGGGGGAGGATCTGAACAGCCAACTTTGCAGCTTACGGTGGCTGCTGGTCAGACTGACGCTCACTGTTACTTCTGTCACATTAAGGTGTAAAATTCATAGTCAGATGGGTAGAAGAGTTCTGGAATGCAATGAACACGCAGTATAATCTGCTGACTGAGCTCGCAGAGCAGGGAAAGTCTTGGTGAGCTTCGGTGGAATGGGTTAGTGTGTGAAAGGGGTCCCGGCGAAGCTTAACGAAGGGTCGAACATTGCCCCTGAGGCAGGTGGAAGCTTTCCCTAAAGTAGATTCCAGGTGTGGTGCCCCCAGAAGCCAGATGGTGATGTTCACTTCAAAGTGCCCTTTGCAGAAGCCAGGCAGCTGTGAAGCGAGGCCTCCCTGGCACACGGTGAGGAGCCGCAGTGCACGCAGTGACCCTGCCCCTCACGCACAGCCTCCCGCGCTGCTCTTCAGTACTTGCATCCATTGCAGCGCACCGCCAGTGCTCGTTCGAATGTGACTTCGCCTCTGTACAAACCTCAGCTTGTCCCCGGGCCAGAGACAGGACCGAGGTTTCTGCTAAAGCTCTTTGCAGAAAGAGAACAATCAACAATGAAGAGGTAACCCGCTGAGTGAGAGAAAAACTTTGCGTAGCTACTCTTCTGGTAGAGGATCAATATCTAGAATGCCTGAGGGACTTTACAAGATAACCCATAGAACAATGGATCCAATAAAAACATGGGTGAATGAACAAGGACATGTTGAAAGTTGTTCAAATGACCCTATGGTTATGGAAAAATGTTCAGCTTCTCTAGCTGTCAGAGAAATGTGAACTAAAACTGCACTGAGATTGCGTTTCATCACAGTCAGTGTGACTGCCATCAAGAACACAAAAAAGCCATGAATGCTGGCAAGAAATTAGGAAATGGAATTTTCTTATTTGCAGGAAATTCAATGAAACTGGAAACTATCATGTTAAGTACAATTAGCCAGACACAGAAAGTTAAATATTCTGTGTTTTCTTTTGTATTAGAACCCACTTCCACGGGCTGGGGATATAAGTAAGTGGCACAGAGCCTGCCTGGCAAAGTGGAGGCCCTGAGTTTGATTCCTGATACTAAAAGAGAAAAAAGAAAAAAGAAAACCCACATCCTTCTATCTCCCTGTCTGCATACCTATCCATCCTTCCATCCTTCCATCCATCCATCTATCCATCCATCCATCCATCCATCCATCCATCCAATTATATACTTAGGGGAGAGAGGACAGGACACTTGGAGATGCACTTCTGGAGATGGGCAAGGAGTCAAATAGGTTGTGGGAAGAAAGGTGTGGGATGGTGTTGGGGGCCAGGAATTGTAAACTGACATACTATCTGTCCCAGGCTCTCCTTACCTGCCCGCCTTGTGGGCCAGTTCTGGGATGCAGAAATCCCACTTCCTTTGTGAGATTAACACCCAGCTATGGGGATGGATCTTGGCTTGTTTCCATTACAGTGTTAAACTTGCCCATTCTACAACTGCTTCTGTGCTGTCCCAGGAGAAGCACCCTGCCCTCTCCCTGCACTGGCTATTAAAATGCTGGCTTGCTGGAGACCTGGGGCCTTTTGTTCCAAGAGAGCAACTGGTGGCCCCAGATCCCTGCTGTGCACCCCCTACTTTGTCTCTTGCTCTTTCTTTCCTTTCCTGCCACACACTGTCACCTGCACAGGTGATTGAAGCCCACTGCGGGGGTGTCCAATAACTGGCACTGTGGGAAGGAAAGGGTTCCTAGTACCTGGCGCTTAATGTGGCCTGAGCCCTGGGCTTTCTCACCTGCCTGGTGGATGTACTAGGTAGGAGCGGTTTATTGACTGTCTTTAGATCTCGAGGGACAATTTCCCGAGATGCTGGGATGTGGAGCTGTAAGTGCTTTCTCCTGGAGTGATTATTTTTCTGGGACTAAAAGGGTAATCTATTTTTTTTTTCTTTAAAGAGAAATCCCTTTCTTTAAAACCTCTCCCTTTAATTAAAAATCTCCTTCTTTAAATATTTTTTTTAAAAAATAAACTCTTTTTCAAAGAATGTTTATAGTGCCAGCTAGCAGTGTCACCAAAATAGTCCAGCAATTAACTAAGTACAATCCTTGGTTCCCGTAGGTGGGAAATTTAGACATTTAAATTGGGACAAGAAAAAATAAACTTAAAGAGGCCTCATAGCAGTGGGGACAGTGTCTCTCCTGAGAATGTCTCAGCTTGGAGCTTGGTAAAATCTATGTTAGATCCATTAAGTACTAGTACCCCCAAATTTCTGTTTTAAAATGGGAATAGCAAGAAAAATACTTTTAAAAAAAGGCTGTCCATTGTGCCACTGGCTCCAGTGGGGAGACCCAGGGCTGAGTGAGGCTTTTGCTACTCCTCAACCTGTACCTCCAGACTATTTAAAGATAAAACATTCTAAACCTTACATGTCTAAATAACAACAAGCTGTTGTTGCTTCCCAATGGTGGTTAAAAATGATTTTAATAATCAAAATCATCTTGTCCCTAGACATTGAGTGTTTGATTTTAAACTGCTTAAAAAATTTAAAGAGAGTGTGGTAAATAATGGAGCTCAGGGACCATTCACCATAGATTCAGTTGTGGTCCTAGTTAATATCTTCATCTCATTACACAGTTACAGGGACCCCATCTATGCCAGAGCAGGGAGCGACTGTGGGCCCACCTACCTCTGCCGCCCTGGACCTCCTGCTGCCCTATGTGCAGGGTTCTAACCAGCTGCACCTTCACCCCACTGGGAGCCCTGGCAGTAGCCTTTCACACATGTGTGCATTAACGGCCCACTGCTCTTGCATGTGCCCAGTTCACCACTCTTAGATCACTGAATGGCAGCAGCGCTTGGTGGCCAGCAGTGAAGCTGTGTTGGTCGATGTGTGCAAAGCTAGGTGGGGGCACAAGACCTGTGCTGTGAGGGATGCGGCAGCAATGGAGACCTGCGCTGGCCAGAGTGGCTTCTCCCTCTCAGCTTCCCAAGGAAGGCGGGACGTGGGGAGGCACCCCCGTAGTCCCAGCTATGAGAGAGGTGGAGTTGGGAGGAATGCTGTTTTAAGCACTTGTTAGAGGGATCAAGAGCTAAAATAAAACTCAGGTGAGCCAGTATGAGTTAATCTAAGGCCTCTAAATAATAAAAAAATTCCTAGGCTGCTGAATTTAAGGACAAATTTTATGCAAAATAAAACTCAGGTGAACCAGTATGAGTTAATCTAAGGCCTCTAAATAATAAAAAA